TTTGCTAAATAAGGTATTTATTGTAGAACTTTTATGACATGTGCTTCTGTGCACGGATGTACACCGAGGAAGAAGTGAATGAAGTGTATGGTTAGTTTCTCACAAAATAGTGATTTCCATGGATTTGTAAGATTTCAAATGTTTATCTACGGTTCAATTCATTGATGACATTAAAAGATTCAGCACATGCCTCACTAACGGCCTTCAGTACTCTCTTCAATACAGTAAAGTATTTCAAGAAACGGCAGAGAAAAAATAATGTGGAACAGTAAGTGATGTACGGGGGTCTATATGTCCAATACAAAACATGATTTATAGGACGGACACAGAGGAATTTGCGAAATGATTCATCTTTAACTCAGTTTATGGCTTCTTCATTAACTAAGTAGAATCAGAGAAAAAGATTACAACTGCCAAAGCAAATATTTCATTTAGAATTATGGATATAATTGTTCTTACACGTTGAAACCATCAACCAATCATTAATAGAACATCATTAGAAACCTGAAAACACTGGACGGCCGTTTCACCCTGATATGGAACTAATCAGCAGTGCAGTTCAAAAGCTCCTACTACTCTCAGGATTCGAACCCAAGACCTTCAGTCTATGTGCGAACACCTAATCACTGCTGATGAGCCCTGCACAAGGACGAAACGGCCGTTCAGTGCCTCCCGGTTTCTAATGGTGGTTTTACAATGATTGATTGATGAATTTCAACAGAATATATGCATCTGAACAAAATCTGGAACTGAAAAACACCTGTCGATCAACATCAAAGTCACAATCATCAATACAAACGTAAAAACAGTTCTATTGTATGGAGTGAACACTTGGAGAACTACGAAAGCCAACATTCAAAAGATACAAGTGTTCATTAACAAATGTTTACACAACATATTCACGATCCGTTAGCCATACACCATCAACAACAACCTACTGTGAGAGAGAATAAATCAGATTGCTGCTTTGAAAGTAATTGGGAAGGATGGCTGGAAGTGGATAAGACACACATTAAGAAATGCAACCAATTGCATCACAAGAGAAGCCCTAACTTGGGATCCTCAAGTCCAAAGGAGAAGAGAAAGTCCAAAGAACGCATTCAATCGAGTATTAGAGATAGACATGAGAGTAATGAACAACAACTGGATCGAACTGGAAAGGAGGGTCCAGTACATACTTGTTGATTGAACTCTGGCCTTGTGATTAACTGGTCTCTTCCGTATGAGTTCTTAGGTTATTTCTATATTAATGTGTCTGTTAATTGCTAACCGATTTGAATGCTATGCTTCAAGAAATCACCTAGTAACTTTGAAGTTTCCTCAGTATTCTCATAATCGAATCACTATTCATGATTGTCTCCACCTATCGATATCAGTACATCATAACATACCATCTCATTGTTAATCTATGTTTAGATATGCGTAGATAACAAGAGAATCCATTTTATCTAATATTTACGTGAATTTATTTTGTAAATAGTAGTAGATTTATCTGCATTTCGTTATGTTATCCTTCGGTTTGTATAGGATGGAATGCAGTAAATGTATTAGTTTGTGAACAACATTAATTCCAAATGAATTCAAGATCCTTTGAATGATTTCTCGGACATTTCTCACATATAATAAAATGATCTGTTTCTTGGTTTCTGAGGTTGTTTATTTTACGATATGTTGATTGGTTAGACACCTTTTAATGAAGTTGTTGGGGTAGTCATTGCAGAAGTCAGACTATAGATGAGTTTATTCAATTTCTGTCTAGTGAGAGTGTAGTGAACGAGAACGAAAATCACAGTGTTACTCAGTAAAATCGGAAAACCATATCGTAAATCGTTAATTTGCAAAATATCAGTTCATCATATCGAACTGGACTGTTCCTGTTGCAAAACATCAATCCATTGTCACTATTCATGCGTTTCATACAAATTTCATTGTTTTCTAACTCTTCCTTTCTTGATCTTTACCCATTTTCTGCTGTCAGACATTACGTTGACACTCACGTCATATACTACTTATAAGTAGCTCGCACCACAAGAGTACTACAGTGGATTTTGACACTTCTGAATAATGCCTGAACACAAGTCATTTTGTGGACTGTTGAGTTGTTACTATTGTAGCCTAATATTTGTTTCATGTAGCTCGGTTTCTTGTATACTTGTGTTTCAAAAGTTTCTGTGTTTGTTTTATTGATTAAGAAGGAGAATCTAGTTTCTGCTTTTTTTCCGAAAATGTTGTCAATCAACTTGTGAGTATTTTCAAGTCTGTTCCTGTAAAGAACAACATATGTTTCATCAACACAATTTCTCATTTAATCAGAGCTTATAATCACTAGTTCTATCGCTATTCATAATTCTAGTGTTAAAAAATGTTCTTTTTGAATCTGCAAATCCCATTGTTTCTGCTTTGTTAAAAATTGCATTTAATGATTGAGATAATTTAATCAATAGGAAACAACCTTAACCCACGTTAAACCTAAGGTTGTTTAAGGTTAACTCTTATCAACCGATCAATAATAACCTTGCTGGGTCACATGAATCTCATGCCACCAATAAATAAAGACACACAAATTCTTAAGTCACGTTATACATACAGTTTTGTTAAAATCCATTTACCAAAAAAAACCATACTGATCAATGAAATTGAGATAAAGTTTGGAGTAATTCCATGTGACTACATGTATGTGTTTATACATCTATTCTAACATGTGTTTGTTAGAGATGATTAATAAAAGTAAATGTAGAATTGGTTTCAGTAAGAATTTTCTCATGGTATTTACTTATCCCTTTCTCAATAATTAATTTCAAACCAATTTTATTGTACAGATTCAAATTTAGATTCGCTAGTTAGACTAGATATTGTGGAAATGCATACGTGAAATTCATTGAACCGATTGTTCCTAATGTAAAAGTCTGATAAATCAAAATAAGTACATATCACAAGATAATCATATTTGCTCGGCATTGACACTTACGTACCTACGCCTGTTACCTCCAGTGGAGCATAGGACACCGACCAGCATTCTCCAACCTACTCTATCTTGGACCTTCCTTTCCAGTTCGACCCAATTGCTGTTCATTATTTTCATGTTTATCTACAATACTCGATTTGATGTGTTCTTTGGACTTTCTCTTCTCCTTTGGCTTTAAGGATTCCAAGTTAGGGCTTCTCTTGTACTATCTATCCACTTCCAGCCATCCTTCCCAAGTTCTTTCAAAGCAGCAACCTGATTTATTCTCTCTCACAGTTGGTTGTCGTTGATGGTGTATGGATACCAGATCGTGAGTATGTTGTGTAAACATTTGTTAATGAACACTTGTATCTTTTGAATGTTGGCTTTCGTAGTTGTCAAAGTTTTCACTTCATACGTTTTGACGTTCATATTGAAGATTGTGACTTTGATGTTAATTGACAGTTGTTTTGAGTTTCGGATGTATAAGTTCTTCGCTTTCTTTGCTAATCCGTTTCTTGACATCTGCATTTCATCCACCTTGTGTTGCCGATGGGGCTGCCCAGAAATGTAAAGATTTTTACATTTTCTAATGCTTCTCCATCAAGTGTGATTTTGTTGGTGCATGTTGTGTTGTATGGGAGAATCTTGTTTTTCCCTTTTCTGTATGTTGAGACCTGCTGTTGCTACACTGGTTGTCTTCTCTTGTATTCACGTTGGGATCAAGGTTCCTTTCAGCTTTCGAGTTTCGAACAAGGTGAAATATGATTTCTGCTGGTAATCACATATCAAATAAGCTATAAAAAAATCACAGTGTTGCCAAGTGTTTTTTTTTTTGAAAATTTACATGAATGGTAAGAATTTTTAGATTTTGAGGTAAAAAGTAAAAACATATCGGAAGAAATTCCTTTAAAAATTCAAGGTCTTTTAAGCCAACCAATAAAATATAAATGATCCCATTTTAATGGATTACAATGTATACTATCAAAACATAATTTGTATTTGGTTGTATTCACTATATGAAATGGATTTATATTCGTGAAAATAGAAAATTACACTCTTCGGTTTTTAGTGAATCCACTTTTATTGAAGAGCACGTGATTGGTTTAATAGAAACACTCATTATTATAACCAGTTGTACCAGTGATTGTTGAACTGCACTTTTTGTCTATTACAGTTTGTACGACGCGCAGACTTTTGTGTAGCTGCCATTTTGGCTCCATTGTTTTTGTAGTTTCGCTCAACTATTCTGGCACGATTTCGGTAGCCTTTCGATACCAGCAAATCTATTCTTTACTATGGAATAACTAACTGTTCTTCTCAGTGATGGGTTCATAATGAGTATTTTGTGGTGATCATAGTCAATCTCAACTAGATCGCCACTAAAGATAATGAAGCATACTAGTTTGGAAAGGATTAGACTGAATTCCCACCAAGTCTACCGCTATGATTAATATCGGGAGATTTTTATCGCCCTGTTTGTGACGGTCATTTCATATCAAAACACATCTCTAGACTAAATTTGTCACTAAAAGTTTAGGTCCATAACTCTTTAATGAAAAAAACCATAGAGGGTAGACTTCATTGAGTTTAGGTTGAACCATAAATATCTCAAGTTAAAATGTGTGTATTTCGGAATCCTACTAGCGGACCTAGTCAAGTGGAAAAACATTATCTACAAGCTTTGAATTTCACTGTCCAAGATATGAAGCATGTTTATGCGCGTAACATGCATTAGTTTAGTCCAAATGTGACATCTCCCTAGGATGATTCATTGTCCAAGATACATTACATTGTATCGTACAATAAGACTCAGTAGGATATTCCCATAAAAACCTGTTTTCAATTTACTTAAAGCTTTCGTTAAAGTGGGACACAATGGGACGGTTGAATTACGCAATCTCTCATTTATTCAAAATGCATCCACCCTGCATATCAAAAGCAATATAAAATAATCTTGAACTTCGAAACTGAACGGATTAATGTTTACATACACAACACACCAACAAAAGTCGATATCAAAATAGGTACAATGTAATGTGATTATTTACCCTGAATGAGTGATACACAAACATGTACATTGGACGAATTAGAAAACAGTGAAGGATTAGTTCGATTTAAATTGGGGTAAAAATTCTTTTTACTATTAGTTAAGCCAGCAAAGATAAAATAATGGAAAAAAGATGCATTATCTAAGAACCAATCGAAGTAATTGTCCAGAAAGACAGACTTTAAAATTAACCTATCACAAGACAACTTTTAGTTTATGTAACCTACATGTATGTTCATTGGCTACTTGAAGACCGGTCGATACTCTCTGACTTAAAGTAAACATTGAAGTTAAAAATAGTGTTTTAATGCCTCAGTCTCATGGTCCGATTCTTCGGGTCTTTATTTATCTTGTGCCCGTCAATTTTCAGGCCGCCCGCTCCTGTCGACCGCCTTGTGCCGATCTGTCACGCGCCAAGCTAATAAAGTAAGCGTTTTGACTTTGTGCTGGCCTTATGTTTATTGACGTGTCTTAAGTCTCGTGCTTAATGCGACACAAGAGACTTAGGGCCTGTCGTCTTTGACTTGTATTGCATATTTTATATATATTTTGTAACATAATCATGTATGCAAAAGAACATTAAACTCGACTGGATATGCTAGTCTTACTATCCAATCTATCATACTTCCGATGGTTGTGTATACCACATGTATATATTGCTGCGCAACGTTAATCCGTACATTTGCATTCTACTGATTGGGTTTTGGACTACTCATTGGAAAGTGATGATTTGTTCTACCAACCGATTATGTGGGAAGAAATGAATAAACGAATCGTCTACATGAAAAAAACCCAACTTTCCTAAAGCAGCTTTAGCGTTACATTCACAAGGAAATGTTTTTGTTGATCCTGGATGTTGTTTGCCACAGTTCACCTATCAAATGGTTTTACGAATGAACATTCGATGATTGTTGGGATTTTAATGTATATTTCGTTCGACGATAACATGCAACTTGAACTAGTACTGTCGTTGAGTCGTCGTGCTGCATGTATTTAGCATTCGCTTGTCATCAAGGAAATATGTAGTGAAGTTTCAAAACTGCAGGGATTTTTCAGTCAAAATCGTACCTTTGATTTATTTAAATCATGATTGTTTTTCATTTGGAAAACTTGATAACTGTTAATCTGTTATGAATAGTCTTGTTACTAGCATAATATATTTTACTTGTTTTACGGCATGTCATTGATTGTTACTTTCATTTCCGAATTCGGTTATTATGTGTTATATGTGTCAATAGTAACTTTCAGTCAAAGTACTCACAGTCTGTATGCTCTCGAAGGAAGACCACATTACATCGTGCATAAAGGATATAAAAGGAGGATCGCAATCTTAGCTTTGATCGCTTTCATTTACTGCGATATTGGCTCTTGAGTTTAATCATTCCACTGCACTGCATAAATTAAGCGTATACCACTT